AGCGACGAATCGCTGCAGACGCGTTGTTTAAAAGTCACAGTCTGTAACTGCTCTTAATCTTCACTAGGTTCGGAGAGTAGCAAATTTAATTTACTTTTTTATTTTATTTACCATTTTTATTCATATAGATTTGCACAAAGCAATGCGTGGTGTAAACCACTTTGATCTTCGCGCGTTTTATATGGTCTCACGGTTCATTATCTTTTCGGATTTATAAGTTAGCGATTGACGAAGATCTAATTTGCACAATTAATGATACCATTATCATAACAAAAACTCATTAAATTTATTTTGCACTGTCTGATTTTTGTATATTCTTATTTATATTTTTTGCCCTAATTTTAATTCTATAAATTATTATTTATTACAATAGGTTTGTGTTAGTACAAATTATTATATAATCAGAGTGGGAGCTTTTAAATTATTTGAAATACATGTTAACTAATACTACTAACATCTTACGAATGTAAGAACCATTGCATTTATTTTCTGCGCTAGTACCTAATACATTTTAGCTTTAACAGGTATAATATACAGTGATGTGAAGCGATTCCTCTACGATTTAAATAATAAGTGTGTGGAAATGGAATTTCTGAAACTGGTTAGGCAAACCGGTCAACTTTCTGAAACAGCGCGCTGGAAGTACATACATACCTGCCGTAATTTTAATTTACACTTACAGACCGGCCAGACCAGAGACTTCGCAAACTTGCAAGTCGTCGGTAGAAGTACGTAAACATGGTATGTATATAAATATACACACCCTGTACCCCACTGTGGGGTCGGGCTCAGCCGGCGCGTGGCACAGCGGTTTGTGCTATGGGCGCTTGATGAAGAGGTTCCGGGTTCTATTCTCGATCTGGGCCAATTTAGGAAACGAACATTTCTAAGTAGGTTCTGGTCTTTGAGGCCAGTGTGATTGTCAGGTATTATATCGAAAAAGTACGCTTATACGGCGGCTATATATCGAAAAATGGCAGAAATAAAATTGTTACCCCAAATTATGATGGAAGACGTGCCATTTTCAGTCGGATTTGAACAATTTTTTTTCTGCTGCCAAAAAACGTTTGTATGGCAGCCGTATCGAAAATGCGAAAAATAAATTTTAACCGCAAATTATTAGCAAACATCCACATGCCGATTTTTAGTCGAATTAGAGCAAATTTTTATCTGCCGCCAATGAACGTTTATATGGCGGCCATATTGAAACATTGGCGAAAAACTAATGTTGATCACCTAATATTGTTAAGAACTTCTAAAGTGATGTGCCAATTTTCAAAGGGATCAGAGCAATTTTTTTTTCTGCCGCCAACAAACGCTTGTGTGGATATTGAAAAACGACGAAAAAGTTATGTTGATCACAATTTTTTATCAGATACTCTTAGAGGCCTCCGCGTGCTAATTTTCAGCCGAATCAAGGCAAGGCTTTTATGTCTCCCATTTTCAATGAAAAAAAAACGCATATACGGCAGCCATATTAAAAAATAGCGAATAAAAACTTTTAACCCCAAATTACGATTAAGGACTTCTAAAGATGTAATGTCATTCTAAAAATCGCAAGTCAATTTTCAGCCAGATAGAAAGCAAATTTTGCTTCGACGGCCATTTTGAATTCGCCATCCTTAATTTTTTTTTACATAGCCAGTTGACCATTGTTACCCTCACGGATGAAAAAAAAAACAATGGATGTCCTTATGCCTTGATTATGATCATAACAGCTGTTGCCAAAACGCACACAAACAAATGAAATCTTGATAATGATGACAATAATAATAATAATAATAATAATAATAAAATAAATACGAAAATAATGATAATGATAATGATAATGATAACGACATGGAATTAATAAGTACTTCGTACAACTGGAAAGCTCACTGCAATTATTTTGACATATCAAAATGAACGTTAAATGAATAGCAATAAAATACTTTTTAAATAACCAATATCTCCTTAGAGATCTGAGCTCAAGTGAGACATCTTCTTTCTTGGTGTGTCCCTTTCGCACAATTGCCATGTGAGATATTTGATACAATACGGTAGTTGACTATAAAAAAAAATTGGCATAAAACAATACGTCATTTTGTCCATGAATATTATAAGATGTTTGTAAATAATACCATACCAACTATGAATGCAATAGGTCGCAAATAAATCAAAGTCTTTATATTATTTCACGATATTTAAATATTATTGGAAAGTTTTATTTGTTTTACATTAGGCAACACTAAAATAATATGGCGTCATCTCTGTTTGTTAGTCAGAAAGAGACGGACCAAGATTTATGACATCTCGCTCGGCGCACGCTTCAATACACAGTAAGCCTTCCAGTTGTACGAAGTACTTATTAATTCCATGGATAACGATAACGATAACGATAACGATAACAATAACGATAACGATAACGATAACGATAACGATAATGATAATGAAAATTAGTCTTTTAGGCCTTGGGAGAGGCGAGAGTTTAAAATAAACATAATAATAATAATAATAAATTTCTGTGGCGTGTCGCTTCCAGCACAAATGCAGAAGGCGGTCCTGCTCGATACGGCACGTATTGTTCGCCGATTCTTGGACCTGAGTCCCTGACCCCGGCCGACTGTGCCATAGCCGGGAAATACCGCCTCTCCCATTTAAAAATTCAAAATTAATCTTTTAGGCCTTGGGAGAGGCGAGAGTTTAAAATAA